GAGACACATCGACTGACTCCAAATAACAACTATCAATCACAGAACAAAGATGTGTATAAGAGACAGGTACTCTATATAGCCCAACAGTGGTTACCTGGGGAAAGGGAAATAACACAGAATATTTAAACTTTCTTTTTTTTTTTTTTATTAAATGCCTCTTGGGGCATGCGCAAGGCTTCCCAATGCTGGTCGCGGGGTCATGCACTTTTCCACCCCTGCAAAACAGTTTGTGGAAGGCATTTGCAAATGATTTGGCCCCCAGCACTTTCTCACTAATGTGCTCCATGACTCACTTTTATACCGCTCTACAATTTCAGATGCCTTTTGATAATAAAATGCTATTCATATTCCCATTTAAAATAAATCATGGCAGAACTTCATCAAATAGTTACTGTATATTACATTTTGATAGTAGTGTTTTTATTTGAATGGTGCAGGCAGAATATGCTTTATGAAATCAGTTGAAAATAAAGTTCAAGAAATATAACTGGTATATGTTTTAATTTTTTAATTTTTTTCTACTACTTAGACTAAATGATATGTGGTGTGTGTCATTGAATGGAGGTGCCAAGGAATGGGAAGAGGTAAGAAAAAAATAACACCACAAAAATATAAACATTTTTTTTCACAGATGGTAAAACTATTGTTATTCAGTTTCAATGGTACCCAGACTGGCATAATTCAGTGTAATAAATTAAAAGAATTTTTACTATGACAATCACTAAGTTTAGTACCATGCATAGGAAATAGTTCTTATTTATTTGTATGTTTCATTTATTCATTACATTTTCCAGTTGATACAATTATAATACATATGTGGCATAATACTAGAAGAAAAAAAAAAACCTTAAAAGCCTAAGTGAAGCTAAAGAAAATATCAAGTGAAGAAGCCCAAAAGGGAAGCATAGCTTATTATATTTAGACTTGCAGAAAATTGTAAGGAAAATATTTTATTGATCTTTCTAATTTTTAATTGAAAGCGAAGTCCTACCTAGACTGTCAAATTTAACGTGACAAAAACACTTGTATGCCCATATATAGTCATGGTGTGCCTATATATGGTCATGATGTGCTTATATATGGTCATGATGTGATGTCATCATGACCATATTTAGGCATGTCACATGTTTTTGTCAAAGCAAATTTGATAGGCTGTGCAGGGCTTCACTTAGGCCTATTTTAAATCAGCAAACCAAGCACTTTCAATATTGAATTATTTTTTTAAAGTTTGCTAGCCCACCACAGACAGTAGGTCTGTATGTTTAATTTGCATTCATATCAATTCAGCAAATTCACTCACCAATTAAAGGATGGAACAATGATGTATAAGCCATGTCTGATTATGAGGCTTAAGAAGCAGAATTGTTTATAGCTGTGAGACAAAATGCTGGCGTTCTCCAGGATTATGTTAATTCAGGAGCCTAGGGTTGGAAGGCAAAGTTCATTTTAATTTGTTGACTTTATTGTTATACACAGTCCTCCCGTATTTAGGATTGCCATTGGGCGATGCGGGGTGTGCAGAAATCAACCAACTGGGGTCAGAGGGCAGAGCAGGTTGGATTGTAACTTCAATTTTTCATTACTATATTGGCAACTTTAATGGCCAAATACTGGTCTAATAATAGCGTGCTAGTTAAAACTTAAAGATCAAAGATTCCCTTATAATCCTTAGTACAGTCAACTCTCCCAATACCGACCACCCAGAAAACCGGATTTCATGCAAAACCGGTCATTTTTTAAAGTCCCAAAATCATTCTTATTCTTACTGTATTAAAATACTTTCTGAAAACCGGATCTCCCAATTCCGAATTCCGGCCAAATTCTTAAGTCCGGAACAATAAAATTACCTTCTGAAAACCGGACGGCCAGTTTAAAACGATGATTTATGGACGAAATATGTTAAATAAATCATTGGAGACACATCGACTGACTCCAAATAACAACTATCAATCACAGAACAACACCGCGTGTACGATCGTTAGTGTTGATCGTGTGAAACGCCAATAGCGCATTAATTAATTAATTGCAATAAGCCTAGATTTCATTTGTTTAATAAACTGATAAAAAAAAAAAAAGTTCATGAGTGTGTTTTCTTTATTAAGGAATGTATCCTTTTCTCACATTTTGCATTCATTCTCACGCTAAGGCAAGCGAAGCGGCGGTCCCAACATAAGGCTATCGATTTCATAAAAACAATTGCGCATGACACTTTCTATTGGCTGACGCAATTTAGGGGGCGCTGCATAAGTTAGCTCTTATTTTTAGCATTCAGTGACCCACCAAGTTTATGCCAGCAGCATCCAAAACCAATCAAACGTGCAACCACGTTGAAGCGAAGCAGATTATGGCGATCGAACGAAAAATAACAATGACACTTTTTATAATTTACGATACACATTAAGTTGATTTGTGTAAATTTTTATTGATAATTGACAACATAAATAATGTAAAAATAAGGTAAAACATGAATGACGTTCTCAGGTCAGTAGGCCTACACAGTACATGATGCAGTGTGGTGTACCTATCTGCTGTACCTTGCTAGGCCTAGGCTTATTATCGACTCAAAGTCGGGGAACCAAGGTAGGTAAATGTGACGTTCTCTAAACCGGTCCGTCCGGAAAACCGGTCAAAGTGGACGGTCCGAAGGGTGGTCAGTATTGGGAGAGTTGACTGTACATGAAATAATTTTTATATTCAGTAAATTTTTAAATCTCAAGAAAATGTGGGCCTTTCTATAATTTAGGGTGTGGGATTTTGGGGTGGGGGATGAATATGTACCCATTGCATATCCCCTCCCCCTTTTTCCATCTTATGTTTCATCTGCTCATCACTGCCCTAAATGATTGCTACTATGACAATCATTCTGATTGGATGGAGTCAGGTGATGGCCCATTTCTGTCAATCACTTATTGTTCATCTCTCAACTGATAGATGAGGTAACTGTTTCAACTGATGATACAAAAATAAATACTAGAAGTGTGGTGTAAATTTGCCTTAGGCCATAAGGCCAGCTAGAGTAGGAGGAGAATGCAGCCTGGCCCACTTCAATGATGGGGTGAACTGGCCTGCACCTGTAGGCCTAACATGCTTGATCTAATTACAGCCAATTAATGTATAGTTTGGAGTACCACAGCTCTTGTAAAAAGTTTATTTATGGTACAGTACACTAACAGTTACAAGTGCTAAAGTGGCCATTTTTGCACCAAAGAATATTAGAAGTTTTACTGACCCAGACTTTTTGTATAAAACTTTACCTCTGCATTATGAAAATCTTTGTCATTGTTAAAATATCAGCGTGGACATATTTATTTAATCTTTTCTTTATACTGTAGGCACTTTCAGTACTATCGTACTAAATTTTCAAAGTGGTACAGTGATGAGAAAAATAAATTGTAACTTAAACAATTAATAAATAAAAATAAATATAATAAAATTTTTAAACATTATTTTAAATGATTTTGGAATGAAAAGTTGACTTCTCTTAAATTAATTTTTAATTTGTGCGGTAGTTCATTCTAGCTTTTGGATGATCAATATAGTGGAAGTAAAAGCACATGACCTTCATGGCTATCAACACTCATTTCTATTTCATTTTCATTTACAGTATTTGTTTACCAGATGCTAAAAAAAGTTTCAGTTTTGTTTTTATTCCTGTAGGATTATACATTTTCAAACCAACAAGCGTAAAACTGCATTGTATTATATTTGTCTTGTGTGATTTTGGTAGCAGATTTTTCGCATCCCAACAATACTATTTCGAGACATAACATAACAGAATGAATAGCATCATCTCAGTTTATATTAATTAGAATATTGTACAAATATTTATTAGTAGTTATGCCTCAAATAACGTAAGAGAATGCATAGCATAATCTCTGTTGGTAGATGAATTTTATTAATAAGTTATCTTTAAATACTGTAAAACTATTTATTGGTAGCAATGCCTGAAATGACTTGTTTATATTGCTTAAAGTACACAGATAGTTTACATTATTTGAAATCATTTAATTTAAAAAATGGTTATATTATAGGCCTATGATAGGCATGTGCATATAAAAGTTACAGTATAAAAAAATATCTGAACAGATGTTCATTAGTTAGATTATAATACTATAATGAAATTAGTTGTGGATTATTTTTGTAGTGAGATATAATACCACATATTTTAGACTATAGTATAAAGCCAATTTAGAGCTTGGTTGAGAGATTTACCCTGCTATGACATTTGACCCCTGTTTACATTTTAATGATTGATTATTTCACTTTAGCACATTCATTACATTCACATTACTGCCATGCTTACAATAGATAATGTACACAGACAATGTATACATACTGTATACAAATGAAGCACTATGCTTCCATGCATAAGGTTGGAGGTTCATTCCCTCGCTGTGCATTTCGCTTGTCTCCTTAGGCTAGCCCTTTTACCTGCAGTTATGTCTCCCCCCCCCCCCCTACCTAGGGTACAATTGGGTACAAGGTAGATTCAAAAACAAAAATGCACTGATAACAGCTGCAACATTATGGAATTCCCCCCACGGACCTGAGCATGTGTTCCATATGTGCTTGATTTAATGACTTGGGGTAATATTGTTGTTATTATTACCATACATGCATTAAAGAAAGATTGAGGGCTCAAAATGCTACAATCAAGCGGTGCTACCCGTTGATAGGATATTTTGTGACCTTACACTGCATGTTTTATAGGATGGACAGATAAGTAGCTTGCATGAACACTGTTCTTAATGTATTGTTATCAGTTTAAAAGCATCTGAAGTCAAAGCTTATTTGAGGTCATGACATCCAATTCTGCTTATTGTGTTAAGTAATCATTAAGTGTCAACACCTTCCTCTAAGACCACCTATTATCATAAAAGAACAACACTTGTATTATACATTTCCAAAGTCTATACAGTAACTATACCACATTGGCCATTAGGAATATAAACATCCTGAGTATTCTTACCATGTTTGGCTACAATGGAGTGTTACTCATCTGTATATACAATTATCAAAGACTCAGTGCATGTCTAAAGTCATTATATTTGTATATTAAAATTATCACCAAAGAAAGACACTTGTTACGTACATATCCAAAGTCATTAGAGTGAGTGTACCATATTTGCCTAGAAATATAAACAATCCTGAGCATTTCTTGCCATGATTGGCTACAATGGAGTGTGACTCATTTTGTATATATTCTTTCCCATCCATCATATAGTATACAAACGAGACTTTACAGGATACGCTATGTTAATTCTACAACAGCACTGTATACAATGCAGTAACTACTTGGCAATGTAATCTACTTATAGAAGAGAATAATATCCTCCATTATCAAAATGCTACAGTAATACTGTACTACTGTACTAAAAAGTCAAGTTAGCGCGTAGTGGTAAGGGATTGTATTTTGGTGCGAGGCGGAGCAAGTTCGAAAACCTGCCTGTGCCATACTTGGCTGTGTTTTGGGTAGTACACTTTGCTCTAACTTCCTTGTCCTTTGGATTGGATGTTACGACATTATTCCAGTGTGCATAATAGCACGCAGGATTTGAACCTAGGACCCTGGTATTGAAAGCAGGGCACTTTAACCACTAAGCTACAGATTGATACTGTATTGTTCACATCTTTGTGATCAATCCCATTTGTTTATGTAGATCATATTTTCTTATCATATACCTTCTTTCAATTTTATTTTGAAGTACTGTATTTATTAACTACTTGCTTATGAAATTTATGCATTTTATTTAGTCAAATGTAAAATAATAGAAATTAACAAAACCACACATACTAGAAAATCCTGCTCGTCATATTATCAGATGCTAAAAGGAAAGATAACCAACCGCTAATAGGATGTGAGGAGGTGTTCCGGTTACACACCCCTGGAATTTATCCAATGGTTGTCTATATGAACCACATATACGTTCATTCCTCCCGGATTTGACAGGTTAACAAATTCATAGTACAGTACGTGTTAAGTTCTTGTAAATTCCGGTTTACTTTGTTTGCGTGATAATTTGAGGAGCTAATACTTTATATTTCTTGGATATACGTTGATCCCTTCCGTATTATACATCATTTTGATAATATCTAAAGTCATGTGAATTGAAGTGCAAGGCATGTGAATTGAAGTGAAGAATTGAACTGTAGATGGAAATATGCCAAAATGCAAATCCTCATTACGTATCCACTCCCCAACTACAACATCCCATTTCCAACTATGGGCTGTTGATGATTATGATTGAATTTATCTTGTTTGTCATGCTTTATTTTATGTCCACCGTTATAGTACAGTAATAGCACTACCCAACCTTAACACCATCCTCCTCAACAAATATTCTTCAACCCTAATACCAATCTCACCTCTCAAAACACTTTCCTCTCCAATTATAACATACTGGGTAATTCTCCCAATCATATCTGAAATTTTTTACATTTTAAGTAGTCAAATGTGCAATAATAGAAAACGAAAGTGGTAACCACACATAACTAGGAAATCCTGCTCATCAAATCCACATATGCTAAAAAAAACAAATAAACAAATACTTTGTGTGAAATGTTTGAGGAACTAATAGTTTATATTTCTTGGATATATATTGATCCTTTCTGAATATTATTTGTCATTTTGATTATATCTAAAGGCGTGTGAAATCAAGTGAAGAATTGAAAATGAAAATATGCAGCAATGTTAATCACAATTCCACATCTCCTCTCCAACTACAACATCCAATTTTCAAGTATGACAGCCCTTCTATACTAATAAAGACTGGGTTTGCTCAGTGGCGGCACCAGTTGGGCCAGGGGTCTTAAGCTGCTCACCCCCCCCCCCTCCCCGGCCAAGCTCACCAAGCAGTCGGACCAAAAAACATTTTTTAATCGGCCTACGCCAAGCCAAAACATTGCTTGCACAGTTGCAGAGTGCCATTTCCGGCCATCCAGAGGTCCCTATTCAATCAATCAATCAATCAATCAATGTGACATTTATTTCACCATGAGCAACAGAAAAAATAAAACATACAACACTATGGCGAGGGACCAGTTTAGTAGCCAAGGCTTGTCTTCACTGTCCCTTTTAACAGATACAAAGACTAAAAATTAAAACACACAAAAAAGAAAAAAAGATCATAAAAGTAACTATTGATATCCTTTTTTTCAGAGTTTACTAAAAGTCTTATGAGTATTTGGTGTTTATAGTTTACTACAATCAATGTTGTTCCATACGTACATTTTGATAATTTGAGATGATTTCCTTTTTGAGGAGTTTACTAAAAGTCTTGAGAGTATTTGATGTTTTTAGTTTACTATCAATATTGTTTTAAAAAGTCTCAACAGTATCTCATTGATGTCCACTATTATAGAAATAGCACTATCCAAACCTAACACCATCCTCCTTAACCCTAAAATATATTTTTAATTCCTAAATACCAGTACCTACATTAATATACTTGTTTTATTATCTGTCATAGGTCCAGCAAAGTGGTGATCATCCCCCAACATGCTGTAATTTCCCAGTTGCTGTGTCAGGGGATTCTATGTATGTTTTTTCAGGGCAGAGTGGAGCCAAGATTACAAACAGTCTCTACCAGTTCTACTTCAAAGAGCGAAGGTAGTTAACAAACATTGTTGTCCATCCATCACTCCTTCATTCATTTATTTATCTTTCTATCTGCCTGGTAATTCATCTGTCATCTTTATATTTATCTATTTATCCATCCTTTCATCAGTACATTCATTCATCCATCCATTTATTCATCCATCTGTTAATTTATCCATCTATATTAATTCCTCCATCCATCAGCTCATTTATTCATTGATCCATTTTTTCATACATTCTTTCATTTATTCATTCATCTGATATCCATCTATCAATACATCTACCCTTCTGTGTTGAACAAACCGTTTTTCTTCATTACAATACAATACCTACATATTTTTAATATATGTGTGTGGAAAGATTCAGAAGTATAAATAAAAACATAGAAATTCTAACGAGATTTTACCATGAGCAGGTTGTGAGACTGATGCATTTTGCTTCCTCTTTCTTTTCAGACTAATGATAATACTAGATACCCCATTAGTCCCAAAGGACATAAACTGTAATTTAAAAAAAACATACATGGTGAAAATTTAACTAACCGTTATGCAAACTAAAAGCATTTTGAAAGTAAAGCTGTTTTTTATGGGTTGTTGTTGTCAGCGAATTTTGTTTACTAGATATATTTTGGTTTTATTTAATTTATTAATTTATTTGGAGAAGCAGACCAATAACTTTTATGTAACTACAGTACAACCCGTTCTTTGGGACATCCCTATCAAGGGCACATTTTTTTGGCCGCAAGGTAAGAGAAATATACAGTATCTTTTACACTACGGTCAGCCCATATTTAGGGGATATCCTTATAAGGGGACATTTTCTTAGTCGTGAAGGTTCTACTGTATTTATATTAATTAAGTAGAATAATTACTTTATAGTACTAGCATAACATTCAGCATACATTTGTATTCTAAAACCAGACGCACCATTTAGACGCACCATTTTATACTCCTGTGGGAATAGATAAAATTCCTTGCCAAAGGCCACAAGTAATATGAATAGTATGTGATTTGGACCACGAATTTATGGTTGAGAGCCCCAATTGCCACTGGCGTGTCAACCACATTGGGTGATTTTTCCACACCATTTGAAATTGGGTTGTCAATAAAAGATGACATTGGTGTCTCTTTCAGATGGAGAAAAATACCTTCAGATCATATTCTGAAGGGGTCACCAGCAGCACCACAACGTCGCTATGGACACATCATGGTGGCCCATGATCGGCACTTGTATGTGTTTGGTGGCGCAGCCGATAACACACAGCCCAGTGAATTATCATGGTATGTAACTACTAAACTCATTAAAATTCATTATCAGTTTTAATAATATTAAAAGTGAATTATTATTGTTTTTAAAATGATTAATTTATTGTACAAAAAAATACACATTGGGTTAACTAATGCTCTGTCTATACTGTCAAATTTTATGTGAGAAAAACATGTGACATGCCTAAATATGGTCATGATGACATCACATCATGACCATATATAGGCACATGATGACCATATATAGGCACATCATGACTATATATGGACATATAGTTTTTTGTCAAAGAAAATTTGATAATCTGGACAGCTAGATATTAATATTATTCTCTTTGCCAAAATTAACTAAGTACTACATTTTCAGCTAAAATATCGCTTTTTTATTATTATTATTATTATACTTTTTGTTAATAATTGCCATCCTCTCAGCTTTTTTTCATTTATCATAATATCCCATTTCATGTCCTAGTCAGATTATATTAGAACTAGAATACTTTTTTCAGTATGAAATCCAACCTGTGCATAAGATAAACATGGTATGTGAACATGGAAGACAGTTGCAAATACTTTGATTCGTAAACCATATAATATGCATACCATTCAACAATCTCCATTACTACAATTCCCAAGATGCTAAACATAGTATGCGTTTCTAATGATCAGCTCAGCGCTCTGCGATTATAACTGGAATATTAGAGCACGCATGATTTCTAATTTTGAATGGAGTCATCCAGAGGGCTTAGTAAATTCATAGGTCATTGAAGAGAATAAATTAATTAACAAATATTTATCATATAATTATGCTAGTTACTGTAGCATTGAATATATATTCTTGTATAATTTTCAGTTGAAAGCTATACTTTAGTTTAACGTAATTAAATTGAATTGAATTGGTTCCAATAAATATACATACAGATAAAATACAGTCATAAAAGGTCCAGGAACAGGAAAAATATTAAAACAGAGGTAAAAGTCTATACAAACAGGAGAAAAATATTGTTTCAATAACATTAAAATACTAAAGATGTCATAAGACAATTTTATTTCTAGAGGAGTCCTTAAATATAAAAATTATATTTATCTGAGTTATAATAATATGTTATTAATTTGTAGTGTCATTGTTAGTAAACAAAGCATTAATTATTTTGTGCATTGTTTGTTTTAGTATATTATTTATAAGGCATTGTTCACTGGAATTTTACCAGTGTTAATATTGATGATGTTAACGTCCCTAAATATGTCTACCCAAAGAATCATTGTATGAAGTAGCTCTGTGGTTTACATGTGTGGAGACTGCCACATGTATAACAGATCATTTTCAACAAGGATGAGTAGTATGAAGTGTAAATAGCACTGATATTGCTAAGTAAAGTTCATTAGAACAGATTTTGAACCTTATGGTAGCATTGATGATTCATTCATTAACATCATATCATTCGGATATATTCAGTACACTTTGACCTGGTAGTACATACAATTACATTAATTGTAAAACAAGACAAAATTATTAAAAAGGGACATTATAAACTTGGACATTGACTTCCTTAAGCTTTTAAGCTCTGTCTGTAATTTTATGTGACAAATGTGTGTAAATGTGCCTATATATATGGCCATGATGGTGTCATATTACATCCAAATATGGGCATATCACATTTTTGTCATATGAAATGTGATAGTGTAGACAGAGCATTAGTTTTTTTAATAGCCTCAATATAAACAATGAATAGACTTAATTATTATTATTAATGACGATTGCAGTAGTAGTAGTCCTACTATTTTACCCAGCAGTTTTGTGATGATTGGTGAGGGTACCCTTCAAACCTAACAATAACAATAGGCAAACTATAGCTTATAAAATATATATGAATATATACATGTATATAATCATGTACAATATATATGAATATACAATATGCATGATTATAGAATAATTTCTTATGGGTATAAAATAATGTCTGTACTATAGAGCTAAGAAAAATATATAATTTACTATATGAATTGCTTTACTTTCAATATTTAAGTTTGATTGAGAGATAATTAATTTGCTCCGTTCAAATGATCAAAATTTTTAGTGAATGTTATTTTCCAGACGGTATCAATTTATTAATAATTCACTTAACTTTTAAACTCATGGTTATTAAATAATGTCTGTGTACTATAGATCTAAGAAAAATATATAATTTACTGTATGAATTGCTTTACTTTCAATATTTAAGTTTGATTGAGAAATAACTAATTTGCTCCGTTCAAATGATGACAATTTTTATTGAATGTTATTTTCCAGACAGTATCGATTTATTGTTGCAGGACTGTTTAATTGTTAATAAACCAGGCACAATGTATGTTTACTTACTGCAACAACAATAGTAAGCAAACCAGATGAAAAAACTATTTTAGTATCTAATTAATTCAATTTAAATAAGTGCTCTTAGAACTTTTGATATAAATTGTAGTATTATTGTGATGTAATATTCGTCTACCACCTCTGCTTGCTTAGTCATTGTACCAGCATAACCCTGTAACTATTTATAAGCTTTTTTTTTCTTAGTAAGGAAGTAATTATTCTCCAAGCCTATTGCAGATAAGTCTCTGCCCTTTATAGTGTCATTCATACAACTTGTCTTTTTAAATTCACCTGGACAGTGCATTCCGAGTACATATCCCGCATCACAGCCTATTTAATGAAAGTGGGAAATAATTTCAAGAAGATTTAATACATCAAGTGTGAGCCCAACAAATACACAGAGGCCAGTTGATGAGAGTTCCACTTCAATGCACTTTAATGTACTAATAACTTGCTGTTTACAGCACAACTTCCAGGAATGATCGAATCTTCCTACTTTACATTAATTCCTAGGATCAATACTGAGTCTTTAACTAACCTATGAAACGCAAACTAAAAGCTCTCGGTAATTTGTCAGAGTTTAATATGCTGTTGATTTTGACTGGTGGTTTTTGCCTTTTATGGTAGTCTAAAGCCGGGAACTCAACTGCGTTGTATGATTGTTGTAGGGCGACTCCAACCCGCTCCCCATGAGCATTAGATGGCACAACTTCTGCAAGCGTCGTGGCAGTGCGTTCTCTGTAGAATCGCATCGTTGTGCGCAATGAATGCCCTGCTTAAGTCTGTAAAGAGTGCATTTTTTCAATGTAATCCACACACCCATGCCTGCTCACACTAATGGTACATGAAAATAGCTGTTAGGTTTATGATGGACTATTCAAAACAATGTCATATTTATGAGTGTGGGGTATTTGGTAGGGTTGGTGGTCGGTGATATTAAATGAAGTTGTGTGAATGTGGATGATATTAGATAATGGAGAGGAAAAGGTCAATTGGGAAGGTTTTTGATGTGAGCGATTATTATTTAGGAAAATCTGCTATGATTTTAAATTTTTTTTTTGCTCAGCGCATTTCCGGAGGAACATAAAGCTATCTTTATTGAATACCCAACACTTCCTTCTTAGATATGCTACTTACATCTGGCATTATATGCTAATTTCAATCAGAGTTGTAGCCACCAGCATGAAAAAGAAAACTAGTGAACTTAATAACATTATCCCTTTTTATTCTCACAGAATTTGCTAGTGGTGATAATAACAACATCGGTCATGATAAAATTGAAGACAGTGACACGAATCATATAATTTCTGATTACAGTTGTTTCATAAATAATAATCTTCCTATAAATTTAATTACTCCACGTCTTAATCTATACCTGAGATCTCATGCTATTCTTCATATTCCACACCTGAGGCATTTACCTGAGTTACTCACCTGGTGATTTTAATTAATATTGATTACCTTCCGTACTTTCTAGGAAGACACTCTGAGTCATTGTATCAATCCAATACCTATTTTGATTAGTGTTATAGTTCATCCAATTCTCCATTGAATTGGCCTCTGCATTGTGACATCATGTCTGTGCTTTCTCTATCACCATTCATAATTCAAAATCTTAAATTGTCATACATTAATTGTAGGCGGTAAAATCCAACCCTGGGTGACTAACCCAGAGGAAAGACTTTGACACTAGTTCGTATCAATTTTTTTCTTTTAATTGCTATTAATATGACATTTTAAATTCTGAGTTTAAAAAAGTCTGGCCAATTCTGAATTTATTCAAATAATGCAATAAATTGATTAAAATATTGATTGATTGAGAGACATAAAAACTATCTACAGTACTTTTGCTTTGGTTTTGCTACAAAAATATTGATCAACGTCACATGTGTGTTACAATTTATTATTTATTTATTTAAAAAAGTCATTATTTTATTCATATTTACTATTAAAAACAATTGATGAATGCATTTGCAGGCATTGGGATTTTTGACAATTAATGTATACTGTCAACTCTGATGTTTTAAGTTCACGAATTTGATCAATAGCTATTGTAATTTATTTTTTAGCTCCAATGAGGAGCTCCAGGAATACCCTGCTGATAATGTGTTTTTTTTCTGATTGACTGTGTTTTTTTCATGGATGATTGACTGCTTTTTTTGCAGTCAAAATAATGGCCTTGCCCAAAAATTGAACCAGGGACCTCTCACCTTAACCTACATTCATACCTCTAGACCATAGTTTCTGTCTCATACTCTAAGCTACATTCATGCCTCTGCACCAATGAGCCATAGTTACTATGTAATTTTGAAAGAGCTGTGGAGGAATACTCAACTGACTGATAGATCTTTTTAGCTGATTGATTAATAGATCTTTTTTCATTTTTAAAGAAAAGAAGAAGAAAAAAACAAAACAATCCAGGAATTGAACCAGCATTCACACCCTAAGCTACATTCATGCCTCTAGACTAACAAGCCATAGTTACTGTGTGGCTACGGTCACACTAGAGTCTCAAGCCTGGCTTGACTCACCGCGGGTGAGATTTCAAGCCAGGTTCGGAATTCTGGGTCGGTCACGCTACCTGAATTTAGTTGGATTGACCTCCAAATTAGGACAGTCGAAACAGGAAGTTAGAGCGCCGCCACAATCAAAATACCGGCCCCGCGCCCATCTTTACTTCCTTGGAATCGAATACGAACACATGCTGATCAATTCTTTGCTTTTTATTATTTCAATTTTACAACAAATTTGAGAGCACATTCAAAATGCACCCGACTGGTTAGGATAATCGATGTCAGATCATAGACCTATGATAATGGACAGTATATCGGATGATCTAGGCCTAGGCTCGGATGTAATGGCGATGCTAGTTTTCAGATTGATAAGTGCATTTATAAATGACAACTGATGATTGCGTCTTATTATTATATACACATGAAGAACTCGCGGGTTTTTTATTCAAGAACTTCTAAACGCAACAGCGTCATCTACTGTGATTGGTCGACAGCCGACGAGGAAATGTCAATCCCGGTCATGCCATGTTCAATCCAGGGTCAATCTGGGTGCTGAGCCGGGATCAAGATAGATAGATTGAGATCGAGGTCACGCCAGGCACGAGTCGATCCAGGTGCAGTCACATTATGAAAATCTCACCCGCGGTGAGTCAAGCCAGGCTTGAGACTCTAGTGTGACTGTAGCCTGTAATTTTTAAGGAGCTCTACGAATACTCAGCTGATTGATTGTTTGATTGATTAAATCTGTTTTGTATGGGTGGCCGTTAGGGCCAACACAGTCTACTGCCTCTATTATACTGCCCTCATCAGAGCTTTCGAGATTATGAGAATTTGTTTTTGGTCATATACATGTGTATAGGGACATGATTACGTTATGAATGACACTCATGTTTTGTATTTTTTTTTTTTTTTTACTGGATTAGGTGATGAGTGTCACTTGATTCTGATTTAGTTGTTTCTAAAAGTCATTATGAATGTTTTGTTTAAAGTGATGACACTAACTCATATTTTAAGCTGATGATCTCATTCTGCACATGACTGTATTAACAAAGGCCATAATTATGTCATTCACTAATAAGTAGTTTATTCAACTCATGTGGTTTGACCATAATTCAATGAATACTTATAGTACATATGTATTTAGTGTTTAAACTCTTCACCAAATAGCGCCATCTATGTTTGAATTGAGTGAAAGAGGATAGGCATAAATCTAATTGGTTATCAAGTAGGTTTTAATATCCTTTTAAATGTGCCTTTTGTCACATAATTCTTTGAAGCAAGTTGTGTTTTTCGCCATATTAAATAAGCATGTGATGTGATGAACAATGCCAATAGTTTGTGGTTCTTTCGTTTTTGTTTAAATATTCAGAGAAAAAGTGCACAACGGCGGTCAGAGGCAGCATTAATGCCTCTGAGGCATTTGGGGGAAAAAATTCAAAAATATAAACTGTTGGGCATATAGTGTACAGATAACATTTGTTGCTGGAGGTATTTTATCGAGACAGTTTTCATGGTCAGAGGCCCAAACATTTTTTTTTTTCAAGCCTGGTGTAGGAGCAATAACTTGAAAACCTCTCAGCATTATTTAGAAAAACATATTAGGATAGATATTGATTACTCATATCAAATGAGTAGATTACCACTCAATTAATATTCTTCTGAGACATACAGTAGTGAATGACTTTATAAAAATCAAATTTAATTTTTTTACTTACAATTTTTTTTTTCCCCTTATAGTTATGACATGGATTCTGAAACGTGGGAGGTTATTACTCCTTCATCTGACAGTCAGGTAAACAAATTAACCCATATTTAAAAAAAAAAATATTCTCCACTGATTTGATATGTTAGAATCGTTGATTTCCATTGACATTAAATGGATAAAATGCATTGTGACATTTATACAAATGACGTGTCACCCTTTTTTTGATACCTAGAAATGATGTTTCTCTGTAAAACAATGAATTAATGATGTTGATTACTCTTAAAGGATACATTTATATGGGGTGATTTGTGAATTTCTTTGCTTACATTTTGTAGAAGCCGAGCGGTCGTGTATTTCATGCTGCTAGTGTCATCTGTAATGCTTCCTACGTATTTGGAGGCACCGTAGATAACAACGTGAGGAGCGCTGAGATGTACAGGTTTCAGGTTAGTTGAATAAAAAATAATATTATTTATCATTTTTTAATGTTAATATGTCAATATAGGTTATTTTGCCAAGACTTCAGGTGCTTCACATTTATTAACATTCTTATAAAATTAATTAGTGTTGATAATAAACATTAATGCTAATCCAAGATATTACTTCTTAAGGTTAGTGACCTTTAGTACACTTAGAAAATTTCATGTGTCTCTACTCCAGTTTTTGCTTCACATGCATTTTTGCCTTTTGCTTAACCTCTTCAATCCATTTGTTTTTATTCACTATTTTAATGTTTAACAATGGAAGTAAATGGATGAAATGGCTATAGTATAGAGGTAACTTGTTAGTTAGGATTTAAAACTAACCAATGTGAAAGTGTAAGGCTTTTAAAGAATGTTTAGTTTTGAATTTTCATTGTTTTTCTTATAGTTTGCCTCAAGGCCAAGATGTACATTAAAAGATGACTTTGGAAAGTTGTTGCTAAGCCAGCAATTCACAGATATTGAATTCATAGTTGGTGAAGTAAGTAGAACTCCTACTCGAAGTATGCTTTTTTATTATATAGTTTTTTGGAGTTTTTTTCCTGGTGATCCTATTAGTATTAAACTATTGTTATGCTTTATGTACTCTGCCATGGTTTTCTAGTCCTATTCAGTATACTTTTATATTGGATCTTTGTTTAACATTTGAACGTCTTGAACATTTTGATAATAAATCTTCATTTTCCACTTTTATCTATTCCAACTAGGAAGCTGTTTCTTGCCCGAGTCACGCTGCTATTATTGCCGGTCGTTGCCGGTACCTGAAGAATAAAATGGAACAGGCCAGGGATATTCAGAATCAGCAGGCAGAAAAAGTATGCAATAATCAATGTATTAAAAGTTTATTGTTAATAAACATATCGTGTATTCATAAATGAAAAAAAAACAGCACTTTTGTATTGTATGTTAATTTACTGACATCCTGGCTTGTTCTAAAAATATTGCTTAGCTGTTAAGGGAAAGATACATGTATGCAATGTTTTATATATAATTATTGTGATTGAACTCTTCAGTAAGGGCTATATAAATAGGAAAAAATATACATAATTACGATAACATGTGTGGTTGGCTGTTCTTGAAGAATACATATTTTTTTTATAAAATAGAAATAAAAAAAAAAATTAAACAAAAAAGAAATTTAACATGATTGGTAATTTAAAAAGGATAGGATGGTCGTACGACTGTAGTCTGAAGAATCAAACTCCACTCTTTGTGAGCTCTTGGTGACGTGTCGCCGTCGTCTGCTGATTATTGGCAGTCTAAACGGATCGTCAATAAAAACAATCTGTTGCATTCCTGTTGCGTTCTCCTTGGAATTGCGTCAATGACTTTACTATTGCTATTGATAATATTCTATAATCAGAACCTTCTACAATAAGTCACACAGTTTATTTTAATAGTTAATATGCTCTCCTTTGTCTTAGGCTTCAGATGATGAAGCTGCCGGAGGTGAGGAGAAACAAGAGGCTAGTGGGGGGAAGAAGGTGTCCAAGAAGCTTCTGCAAGTGTTCATACCAAATGCTAAGCCTGAGGCTTTCAAGTTAATTCTGTGGTTTATTTATACTGACAAAGTAGACCGCAAGCCTGAAGGTGAGTTGCATTCACTCCTCTATTTTTTCTTTGTGTTACTTATGTTTCTATTCACTCCAGCTAGCTGTGGGCTCCCCTCCATCCTATCATAACGTCTCTTCACCCACCCTTGTCCCCATACCATTTCCCCCTCCCTTTCTTTGTTTTTCTTTTTGGTATTCCTCTGTCTTTAATTTAGCTCCTCTCCCTATTCCTATGCAGCCTGATTTTCTTCACAATTAATCAACATCTAATTTTACATTGGTTTTTTTTTTGTAGGATTTGAAGATAAACCCACATTGTTTGTCCTGCTTATCATGGATGTATATAAGTTAGCTTTAGAGGTAAGTTCAATTAATGAAATTGTGTAAGTTATGAATTACTTTTAAAAATTTTGTTTATATTGTCAGTTGACATAATTATCATCATCATTTTCATCATCATAATCAATGTCAATATCATCATCATCCTTTTCATTATAGACATAAAGACAAAATGCATGGTTGATGACAGTGGTGATCCCAGCAGAGTGGGGCAGGGGAATTTCCCTTATCAGACAGGGCTGGTATGATGCCACAAACAAGGTTGTCGGGCCAATAATATTAATATACCTATCCAAAAAACATAAAGCAATTTTCTGGAATTATCACTGTGTGTAAGTTGTGGTTGTTCATGAACCCTTGACTGATTAACCCAGATTTCCAGATGTTACTGTACTTAGCAGGAAACACTATTTTTGACCTTGTACATTCATAACCATCATGATCATCATCATTATTTAAATTTATTTTAATTCATATAAAACTCAACAGCTTAATGTCTTAATTAAGAACAGGAAAAGTAAAATATTTTCTTTTATTGTTATTTCTTTTTTGTGAGCTTAGTTCAGTCTACCGAGACTGGAGCAGATGTGTGTTCAGTACCTGGAGGTATCAATAGGCCTGGATAATGTCCTGTCTGTTCTTCAGTATTCCCATGAGCTTCAGTTGGACTATATCAAAGTAAGTTACCAGACCGTCAATGGTTTTTACACAAGGGGGGAAAATTGCACCCATTTTGTGTGCACTGAACCATGAAGTTCAATGTTTACCAGGGATCAGCTTCAATTAGAAAATAAATTTTAATTATTGAGAGGCAGCAAATTACGTATGTGTTTAGTTGATGGGAGATTTTTTTAGGCATTCCCAGAATTAAAGCATAGAGTAGCATGCTGGGTTTAAGTAGTAGTCCCACAAGTTAAATTTCAAGTATTGTAAAGCCTGCATTATTACCTTAATGTGGACACTGTAAACAGACTAAGACTTACATCCTGCATTGTTTTGCTGTAACTCGCAACAAGGTCTTAAAATAAACTGCTGTACACCCAGGGGTCCCAAACTGGTGAAGCCACTGTAGTGGCTTCACAAGCAAGTAGTGTATGTAGTGGCTTCATAAGCAATCTTAACATCTTATTATATTTTGCTGCCTGTGTTCATACCCATTTCCAGTTAACTTCATCAAGGCAGTAATACAGTAGTAAAACCATTCAAAATTTATGGGAGTGGGTTGTTTTCCGAGAGATAGTATTTCTTGATCACAAGTGTGTGGAAACCGTGGAGATTTCCAGCAGACTTCGCAACAAATTTCAAGTCATTTTGTGAGTTTGATCAATATATTGAATTGAATTGAATTGTGGGCACAGCTAGTGTATCATTGGTCCCACAGAATGATTACAGTATCTATTTCTTGTGGTTTATTTGTTAAAGTAATGCTATAATTGACCAAGTTCACTTAAGATTAGCTGAGTTAGACAATTTGTATATTAATCTATCCTCTCCTATCAATTGCAGTCTTTCTCCCTTGTGATATATGCATTAATATTTGTGCATCATTTATGTTTTTCCTTCTAGGAATTTTGTTTATTTTTCGTGACTAAAGAGAGCAATTACAATTCGATTGTAATGAGTAATGAGTTTGAGCAGCTGTCTCAGCCAATAATGGTTCTAGTTGTGAGGAGGAAACAACAGTCACTTACCAAAAGAATCTTAGAAAAACAGGAGTTTGACAACAACAGTAAGTTTTAAGAAAAGATAAAGATAATTCACAGTAGGCCTACAATAATATATAAGGAAAAATGCTAAGTAGAAGAAAATTTACCATTCTGCTGGGCAAGATGAAATGTACATGAAATTAATTTATGTCCACAAAATATACTTTATGAAGATAATAGCAGGAGCTATGACAATTTCTATGCTTTCTATCACTGTTATATTCCACCTTTGAAACCCAGACACATAATGTTTCTGAAGTGAATATAGGAAAATCTAAGATTTATTCTGAGTAAGAATTTTGACGTTTAACATACAAACGCAGCATCTATGATGCGGTTTCTTTGGCAATGTCATGTTTAATCACATGCTCACCAGTGGCTATTTCCCATATGTGAAATGTAAACTGAATGTTTCGATTTATTACCTCATAGCGAGTAGGAATCTGTCAGTGAGGCACATGTCATTCAATATTCTCATAAATCTTGGTTAATAAATAATAAAGTGCTCAGTCAGTGTTGATACTTACATTCAAGTAAAATAATGTTGGTCTGTGCCAATGATTGATCATAATTCTATGTATGGAAGGATCCTTGTGTATGAGTAACTATGAGATGACCATAGATCTATTAAACAACTAGAGTGCTAACAAGATGGCGAAGCAATGCGGAGTTATGTATGTGTACCATCCAAGATGGCCGTCGTAGTAAAGCGCCACCTTCAGCTTGGTATACATATCATTACCATAATTAAGCCCTCTGACTGATTATTATTTCAAATTATGATAATGAGTAATGGTAATGACAAATTATTAAACTATCGTAGCCAGAACGAGGCCAAGTGGAGCATCTTATTCAAAAATAAAGTACAAAAGAATGAAAATTAAAATCTGTACATTATACCCATACACCAAACGCTCGAGTTTCAAACATACGAGTAACTAGCTGTACTGAACTTTCTGTGTAAATTGAGGGCTCAATTGCAAATGATGATGAAATTTGATTGGCTAAATCTATGGCAGCCATCTTGGATGGTACACACACACAGCTCTGCGTATTTCGAACATTGAATACATTGCAGTTAGCGCTCTAGTATTCTTATTATATCTTTATGGAGATGACAGATTCTTCAGTAGTATAATCTAAAGGTGTGTCCACATTATCAAGTTTTCTATGACTAATTGCTCCACTTCCTAAGCTTCATAATGAGCATTGTTTAATCTTGACGAGTGATTATAATTATTCTTATACATGATTTACATAACTGTATTTTATATATATATTAAATTAACAGTTTTTATAATAATATTGATTGCAGTATTTGGCTACTATATACCATCAAAGTCAACTTATTAATAAATAATACTTTATAAAAATTCAGATAATATAAATAAGTGTTTATTTAATTATCTTTACCTTTGACATACTGTAGACATGTGCAGTTAAAACTACATGAGGGTGTATTGTCTTTATAAGTAGTATTATGATTACCAATACAGTACTTCAACACTCAGCATTCTCTTGTATTGTCCAGGTATGACCACTCTAGCCCAGGATATGATGACTTTCATGAAGAGTATGACAGGTAAAGAATATTGTGACATTACCCTGATGCTGGATGATAACACCGCTTTCAAGGCCCATAAGGCAATCCTAGCAGCGAGGAGTAGCTACTTTGAGGCAATGTTCAGATCATTCATGCCAGAAGATGGTAAAGTCAAGGTAAGGGTGGGGTGATGGTGGTGGGTAAGAGGTGGGGATAATTGTGGGGTGATTATGATGGCAGCAGCAGATACAGAGGGGATGATGATTATTACAATGGCTAGACAGTGTTGAAAATCTGACAAGGTTGTTGTTGATGTGTTTAATGATGATGATGATGATGATGAAAATGGTGATGATTATGGTGGTGACAAGAAGTATTTTGAAAATGATAACAGTGGTGATTGGTGATAATGATTATGATGGATGACAGGGTTATGATGTAGATGACAACATTAGTGATGATAGGTGGCAGTGGGGTCAACGATTGCAGCGGTGACAAAGATGAGAAGAAGAATGATAATGTGGATGTTAACAATAATGATGATGGTAAGATGTTAATGAGTGATGGTGGTAGTGGTGATGTTTGTTGTTGTTGTGATAATGGTGATAGTAAGAACACCTCTGTATATTCTGACTAGTACAAATATGTTAGCTCTTTAATTAATGTTGCTTTACCTATGTTTTATATAGATGACGATAGGCGAGACAACACCCACACCACAGGCACTGGAGTCCCTTCTTGATTACATCTATCATGGCTGTGTCACCATGCCTCCAGAAAACTCATTGTATCCTTTTACCATCACTATATTCATATAATTATATTTAATTTCTATACTTTATATTACAGTTATGTGATATCTGTAAATAGGATGAAATGGATACATGCATTTTATAAATACTATTTGGGGGTGGAGGGGGCACAATGGTCTCAGAATAGATAAGTGAGTAGCACATAACTGATTTGCGTTGAAAATTTTAAAATTTAACGGCAAAAACAGGGGGTGGGGGCACGCCCTACTGGATCCACCCCTGTTTATTGCACAAGTTAAGCATCGCGATAATAGTATGAACCACATACAGACCTTGGCATTATTCGCCATATATATCAGACATTGATTAGTAGAAAATTTAAGAATTTTATGTCCAAAGAATACTTTAGGCCTGGTTTTCATAAAATCGCTAGACTGTTTTGTATTCACTGCAATGGTTACTGCACTCCAATCGAAATATTTTCCCAATTTTTTCTCAAGTGTTATTAAAATTATTTTATTGTCCTGCCATAATTTTATATTTCTGACATTATTTATATATTTTACTTTTGAATGCACAAAACTTGTGACTGTTACTAATTTTTAAAGTAAAGTTATTATATGATTATACTTTATTGCATGGTCTTTCCTTAGTCCAAACATTCAGATATTTATTTTCAGCACCGTATTACTTTGGATTTACTAACACACGTCTACAGGCATTCTGCAAGGAGAATCTGGAGATGAACATCTCCGAGTTGAATGTGGTACAGATTCTGGAAGCCGCAGACAAAATCGGGGCTAAAGATATGAAGGATCACGCCCTCAAACTTATTGTGAGAAACTTTACAAAGGTGAAAAGATGTCTTTTTATTTGATGTAGATACATTTTGTAAAGGAGAAAAATCTTATCCAGTGAAATAAATATAGTTTAAATATTGATGAATGTTCATTTTGCTATTTTTGTTTTCCATTAGGTTGCTAAGTCTCCAAGAATGAAAGACCTCAACCGGGCTTTGTTACTGGACATTATTGACTCTTTAGCCAAACACATGGACATGATGAAACAGAGTAAAAAGAGTGGACACGAGGGATTCAGCTGGGACAGTGGACGCAGTGACCGCTATGGCAGCTTCCAGGATTACTAACTATAAGGACAAGTTGTAGTAGTTAACTTATGAAGTGTAATGTATGAAAAAAATTAGTTGGTGCTTTTAAATATTTACCCCTTTTTATCCTCCATCCTTTTCCCACTTCCACATGGAGGAACTCCCTCTAATTTATTTGTCTACTTGTTTTTGTATGAAATCAAATAGTATGAAATATGTGCAATGTTTTTTTATATATTCATTTTAAGCTTATTTTCAACATTTTTGTAATATTGCAATTGTGACAAGTACAGTAATAATTCCTACACTTGACCAAAAAGAGGGCTGGATTTATTGATTTAACAATCATCTTAGTGCAAATAGAGACAAAAAGAACAATTATATAATGCCGTAGATGAAGGGCATTCTACATATGAGAATGTAATAGATGTAAGAGATATAATAATAATGAAAACACATAAATTGATTTCTATGTTTTGAGAAAATAGCCACAATTCTGAAAGTTGTTTTGGATTTAAGCTGTTTTATATTAAATATTTCTTTTAGTAAATTGATTAACAAATTAGCTAATTGATTGACTGAATATTTAATTAGTATATTGCAGGTCTGTAAAGAAAATTGTTTTTTTTTTTTATTTGGGATATGAAATATACCCAAAATTTTAGCTGTAAAATAAAGTTTTTTTTCTATGCAACAATGCCCTGTCAAACTAATGAGTAAAAAAATACAATGTTATGTTCAACATTGATAATGGTATAGAGTGATTGGCAGTGTATTGTAACGGTTTTGCTAAGTTCTTACCATCTCTCGTTATGTTTATGATTAAACTGATATTGGTTTAATTGGTATTGCATTTTAGCTGATTGCATTAAGAATCTTAATTGATGTCTCTTTGTGTTTATGTTACAAAACATGAAAAAATCAAGGGGTATAGAAATGCAAGAGGTCTGACTTGGGGTTTCGTTGAAACGCAATCCTATCTCAAAAAAGTACTATCACAAACTGGAGAGTGTCCTTCAAAAGAAAAAAGTGTTCGTAAATAGGGCGCCACCAATCTTGTCTTAGTACCTTTTAAAACATTTCATTGCATGCATCCAAAATCAGGCCAGTCGGACCTCTTGCAATTGTATACTCTTTTATTAAACTAACAATGGTTTAATTGGTATTGGACCGTCAGTGATTGGTTCAAATTTTAATTAGTGTCCATGTTTACATTCCAATGGATGATTAATTGATAGTTGTTCAATTGGTTGATTCTTAATCAGTTTAAAATCAGTTTATTTAATTGGTATTACATTTTAGCTGAAATGTATGTGTTGTTCTTTTCTGAATGTATTGAATAATTCAATTCAATTTATGCCTACCGTAAATGCTCGAATAGGCGCCGCGGCTCTTATAAAATTTTTGGTGGCTTCAGTGCGGCCCTTATTGAAGAACAGCACTTATTTGAGAGCGGCACTTATAAAAAAAATATTGACGTGGCGTTTCCCTTGCCTGTTTCCATGTTACCTATTTCACGTTTTCCCGTAGTTCGGTATGCCTATCATCGGTCCCATCATCGTAAACAAACGTTTATAAGAAATGCTTGTGTCTTCATTGTGTTATTTATTCATTTTAACACTGTATTCATTGAATTTAAAACCCTGTTTCGTTACACACAGGGTAATATTATATACTTTAGATTAAGCGTTGCAGAGCTTATTCGAGAGCGGCGCTTAACGAAAAAAATCGTTTTTGAGAGCGGTGCTTATTCAAGCATTTATGGTATTTATATGTTCTGGAATTACGATTGCTTACAATATAAATCAATGGTATTGACATGCTTCTGTTTAAAAGATATAAATTGAATCATGTAGTTTAATATTCATTGTATCAACGTTTGACTACTTATTAGTTTTAGCCGTGTTTTAAATTTGTACTGTATTGTCTGGTTGCACCACTACGTAGTGTGTACTACTGTTGGAAACATAATAAACCTGAAATCTGACTAGTTCAAACCCTTTTCTATAGTACTATAATGTGTACTATAGCTTGGAATACCGATATACAGTTACAGACATAGCATATGGGCACTTTGTACGCTTCTTTGTATGTACTGGTCCAAATCATATTCTATGTTTTTTGTTTAGGATGGATTTATTTAGTGTAAATGCCAAGGATAACCCAAAAAAGTCTGAAAAACGCTAATTTACCAGGTTGTCCTGGTGGTGATTGGGCAGTACACCGGGAGGCAATCTCCTACTCATCCGAAGAGTGTACTATGTTCTTTGACGTTCGTGTGGGCCATAATGCACACAGGACCAACGAAAGCCCTCCAGCTGAAATACAAGGAGAGCAGCGATGGTGATTGAACCGGGGATGATGATCGCTACAGTTTAGTGCACACACAGTGGCTGTTCTTTGAGAAATGAATTAATAGTTACAACACATTTAAGATATTTGTTTTATAATCATGATTTCAGTGATTATTTTACCTAATCTTTATGAAGGTTGGTGAATAAATCCTTAAGCTCATTTAGAATCACTGTCTCAGAACGCTTACTCATTTTGTGTGGCGCTTTTGAATTCACAACTAAAACATTACACATCACAATTTTATTATTTTGATGTTTTATGTGCCTACTTTGCAGATGTGCAAATGTATTTACTGGTATGCACAAAACTGTTCTTGCATTGTGTTTAGGACAATAAATAATAACTAGATTTGCACACTGTAGGTGCTTATTTGAAATCACAATATATTCTCTTTTTATTTGGAAACAAGGTTCATAATTATTACAAGTAAACTTAAAATAGAAAAATCAGTATCCACAAAGTTCATCATAATGGTATCCTGGATTAAAAAAGCACTGTTCTAACCTCTTCTATGGTTCATGCATTATCAAAATTGAATGACCCAAACTAAACCAAGAAATAAAAAATTAAACCGAGCAATATATATCAGCATTCACATGAAAACGAAAACAAATTTACATTATTGCCTCAGATGTCATCCATTGCAATCTAATTTTTAAATATTGTTACTTGTCTTGGTTATATCATAAGCCTGTATGAAACAGCAATTCGGGAAATTGTCAAATTGTAGACGTATTGCGTCAATTTTTTCGACAAGAAATCCGACTTTATATAGCGCCCCCTAAATTCACCTGAACGCGGACGGCGGGAGCAGAGCCGGTGATGCGTTACACCAGTTACACACAGAGCAGGCACAACACCGTCTGTCAACAATCAGTGTTTTGGAGGAGATATGGCGAATGACAAGATAGAAGAGATTTCCAGTATGGTATGTTTTCTAAATTTCGAAGTACATTTTGTTGGAGGTTGATTCATGCTGCATTCATTTAAATGTTGTATCAGTGTTGGCTTATTGACAATTTCCTGTCATGGAGCAGGACTAAGCCTAGGCCTTCTTGATGCTAGGAATAGGGCCTGATTAACTAGCTTAAGTCGGCTAGGCCCAGGTAGAGCTACTACTGTAAGCCTAGGCCTAGTCCTGAGGCCATGAATCTAGTAGGAAGGCCTGATATGATCGTGATATAATCTTATGGTATAATTAATTTGATAGGCTTTAAGTATATCAATAGTCAATGTTGTAAACAGTTTGTGCATTTTGCTTATTTTTGAGACATCGATGTTGTTTCATACATAGGGCCTACTGTGCATGTATAATACTATTATTAGGCCTATATGACTATGCCATATTCAAAACTACTCGAGGTTTCTCTCATCAATTGTCATAAAATGTGACATCATCATCATCATCATCATTAATTTATAGTCTATTATTCCATGCACAGGGTTCGAAATAACTCTGGTCCGCCCGCCAATGGCTAGTAAAATACATGGCGGACCTGTTAATTATCCCAATAACAAGTCCACATGACCAGTTAAAATTTTAATGAAAGTCTGACAAAATACCTAAAGTTTTACTCATTCACCTCTTAACGATGTCTTTACAAAATATTTCACACAGATGTCAACAAGATCGCTACTTTCTGTTTATTGTCAGCTATGAACAGCCTTGGGCTCAGTACAGATGAACATCACACAGTAGCTAGGCCATGGAGGAATCCATGGCTAGACGTACAGAGGGAAATCACCTTCTCCGCATGTTACAGCGACAAGGAGAATTAGATTTCCGTCTGTGTGTGCACCGTGAAGTTAAAACATCATGTATCCATCCCACAATGCAATGTGGGACAAAAGTTAATAAACGCAACGAAAGCATAGTCCCAATAGCGTTGTCATGGAGATTGTCTATTAATTAAAATGACACACCAGTAAAATGTTAGATAAAGTGATAGTTACGCCTTCCATTGTTTTAATAAAGTGCATTATCGCCTTATGAATACTTAAAAATTGATTGTAATCAACCTGAAGTGAAAAAGGAATTGTTTCTACGATGGCTCTTTTTCAGTAGATGTTTAATTCGGATTTGGTATGTCATTAGATTCATATATCAGTCTACATGTAAATTACACTCACATTCCCCAAAAACATTGCTAATTACGGAGGAAATTTGCAGAGAATGACATTTAAATTTGAATAAGATTTATTTTAGATTTGACTCTAAAACAAAACCATGAGGGTTTCTTATTTATTTTAATAAATTTGTTTAATTACCGTAAAAATTCAGCAAGCTGTCACGCACTATGAAAGTTTGGGCGATCTGACGTCATGACAGCCAAGCACATTGGATTTTTGCCCACCCACATGACCCCACGAAATATATTAACCAATTAGCGGGCAGAGTTTAGGAGGCGCAACCTGATATTTACAATGCATTTCGCATCGTGACCGCGAAGAATGTGTTGTGTTTACAGTTTAGAAAAAAATGTCAGACCGAAAATGGACGTAAAAACAATATAAAAGCATTCATTTTATTGGTACAGTAATTCAATTTGCTGTGCACTACAGCTAAACAACAGGTACTGTACGTATTATATGTTAAATAATATGTTAACTTTTCGTAGGCTACTCATACCGAATTCACTGACTGGGCTATGCTAAGCCTATATCAGCGTCTAGGCTAGGCCCTAACTGGTCTACCTTATTCGGAAAGGATTCAATAGAAATGTTTCACAAACCGATCTTTCCGGAAAACCAAGCATCGTACCGAACATCGTATTGTGTGCAC